TTGAGCGTTTTCCTGGTTTTGTCTCTCCGTGTTATCTGATCGTTGTTTTGACCCCGAGTTTCTGTCCAGCCCCTTTGATGCCCGACGTGAATCGCCTGACCTCCGCCTGTACCCCGACTACGAGACCTGCCCAGCCCCCAAGACCGACTCCGTACATCGCCCAACCCCAGCCTGTTCCACGACTACGATCCAGCCTGCTCCTTCTGTTTATTCTGAGCGACACGTCCGCCAGTAAACTTTCTGGTCTTCAGACAGGTTTCGCTCATTTATTAAAGTCACTTGCTCTTGATTCTGCAACAGCGTCCTCTTTGCCCCTACCTAAACTGTCACAAAATGAAGCAGCGCCTCTAGAGTTACAGAATACAGTGCTCACAGAATTTGCGTTAAACCTCACTTCAGAGTGCACCCTTAAATCCACGGTTCTAATTTCACAACTGTAACCATATCAAGTAGGCATCTAAGTACAAACCAACTATCATATTTCCGTAAGTATTTCACGTTTCTGCCTCTACCTTAAATCATGATCCCTCTGAAGACTACATTTATAGTACTATACTACGGTTTGTTAATCAGGTTTTTCAGGATGTCACTTAAGCATATATATTTTGAATACCTTCCTTGTTGCATTTCCTGTAAAACAAGGGAGCAGATTTGTCACGGAGTAATCCTGCAGCCTTTTGTTATTCAATTCACTGAAAGATACAGTCACAAAGACAAATGGATAAACACCAAAAAGCAAGGCTAGAGATTATTACATAGTAAATTAATTCGAGAAGAATCTTCGATTACATATTTTGTTGAGTATAAATTAATTTAATCACAGCTTTGACCACAAGTCGATGTTATTTTTAATTAAAGGTATCGGTACATAGCCTACAAAGGAAAATTACATTTTAGGTCAAATGATCTGTATACTTTTAATTAATATTCGTGCTTACTTTTTGTTGATATTTAGATGCAGAAGGAGTTTCAAAAAAGTTGGGCACTGGAAAATCCCAAATATTCACGACTGGATATGGAGGTATAATTGACTCGCATTCACCAAGTTAACAGCAGCGGTCTGTGGGAGTGGTTTTAGCAAAAAGCTCATGTGACGTACAGTTACGGGGGGACAAAAAAAAATCAGCCGCGGGGGTCACTGGAGATCAGAAAATAGTATCAGAAATTCAGTGTTGAAAATTACCTTTTAAGACAGTTTTATGTTGACTAACTTTTCTTTTAATACTAAAAAAACTCAGGCATGAATTATTCGTTTAACAGTATTTATTTGTAACAAACATTGCAGTGTGTTCTTCATTTAGTGTTCTTAGCTTGAAATATATAGCTTTTTAATAAGATAATATTTCGATGTTTACCAAATTATTTGAAGCTTTCTTGCGAGAAGAGATTATGATTAAAACAAAGTCACAGCTCTTCGCAACACTACAGAAGTTAGCAAATTAGCTACATATTCAACGTGACTTTCTTGGGAGCTCAGCTTTAGAAGGCATTATGCGCGTGTGTGTCGGTTTACGCATATAATTATGTAACAGAGAAAAACGACAACATCCCAATTAACATATTTAGAACTTTATAACTAAGTTGATACATGCTACTAACAAAGATGTGTTCTGTAGTCGAATCGCGTCTCTGCCGTTTCAAAGAAAGTCCGCTCTTCATAACTTGCAGATAGCGTTCGTGCTCAGATCCAATGACCGGCATTGTCAGGTTGCCAGGAAGTGAATTACAGCGCTCTGATCTAATGATGCTGGGGACTGTCAGATTGTACTCAGCGCCCGTGGTGTTAGGGGAGAACCCTAGGATTAAGAAATTATTCGGTGCCACTTCGATCAGCGAGTGATCTACCCGCTTAGACCACATAATAACAATCTGACCTCAACCTCTCCATTGGCTTTATTCTCAATGTCTCCCTTAATTAATTGAAGGTTAAAGAAAAAAAAGAAGTGATTGGAAAAGTAACACAATAAAATGCACGTGTCATTGGAACGTATTTGGGTCTATTTATGCGCCACCTACTGGCAGACCGCAAAAGCCGGTGAAGCACACGCTAAAGCGCTACCAATTTAATTTTTTTATTTTTTTTTTAACTAATGGTGTCCTAAGTAAACAGATAAATTAATACATTGAAAAAGAATAAAATCAGAAACCTCAAACCTTGAAACCAAACTATTCAAGGAAGTGGGGTATGCTCCTATACGTTCATCCTTGAAGCGAATTATACTTTCCTCCATAAGAAATTATATTAGAGTTCGGATAAACAGGGTTGCCAGCTTTGGTCAGCTGGCTGGAGTGAGATTTTCAATTCGAGACAAGTATGCACACACACGCACTGGTACACTACATGTATGTAACACTTTTGTTACCTTGTAAATAGTATGTAGGGCAGGGCTCTCCGGTCCTTCAGAGCTACTGTGCAGTAGGTTTTCTATTCTATACCTGGCTTCTGGTGAGCCAGACCTGTTCCCAGGTAAATATTTGAATGGGTGTGGCTCACCAGTAGCCAGACAGAATAGAAAACCTGGACAGTAGCTCCCCAGGACCGGAGATGGGAACCCCGGCCTGCTCTAGGGTTCGCAAACTACCCCCACCTGTTTGATGTAGCTAACTTTAGGTTCATAATGAATAATATAGATTTGCCGTATGATTCCTTGCGGGAGACTCTGAAAGTGAGTTTATATCGATGTCGGCGCGGGGGGGGCGCGAAGGTAAAAGTTGTCGATGGGGGTCGCTGGGCAAGTAGACGACCCGTCCGGGTGGCATTTGGAGGTGGTGGTATGAAATGCTTATAAAGTAGGCTACGTTTGTCATTCAAGATATTCGGCTGCAATGCGTGGTGGCGAAATCTCGTAAACGGAGGAAGAATGGAGTTGGAGATTGATAATATCAGTGCATTGTCCTGGTCTGTAGAGGGAGTGCGAGAGCTGTGCTGGAAGGAAAAGCTTTTTCTGACTCCATATATAGAGCCTTCCACTGACCTCTGCGCATGCGCACAAGTTTGAAACCAGTTGCGACCGGAAGCGTCCGGTCCATCACAGTATAGACCTTTTGTGTATGTAAAAGTTATAATTAAATCACTGTAAGTCCAATATAAACGCTGCTGATTGTTCATGTTAAGATAAACAGTACTCGCTGTAAACTGAGCTATGACAACTGTTTTATCTACTTACCGACTCGGAATTAGGCATTCGATGAGTAATTATTTAATAATATAAGTACACTAAATACCAATTCGGTGACTCGTACATTCCCTATATTATCTCATTTTAAATTCTTTTTTGTAATGTTTGTAACCTTAACTCTACACAAGCCATTTAATATATATACAACAACACAGTACAATTGTGGTGGATATATGTTTAAGAATGAAATGTGCAACAGGTCTTAGAACGGTTAACCAATGTAGATTTTATGTACAGCACATGTTGGTACAGTAAAAACATTTAAATTTTACAGATAAAGCACGTAACCATAAGTCTAATTTCTGTAAAAATACAGAAAAGAAATTGTCCAGTTTCACTGAAGGGATTTCTCTGCTATTTTACAAACTGTGCGTAAATATACGTTTATTCAATGTAGTTTTAATAAAGTTTTTCTGTCATTTAACATAACAGGAAAAAACGTGATTTACAGTCAAATTGATTGATATAAACGTTTAAAATTGTGGGGAAAAAATGTCCTTTTTTACAGTGCAGGTAGACAGTAAAAATACGAATAAAACATAGAAGCACTGCTGAATGCAGCAGCTT